TGAATGGAAGCAACAGTGCATGGAGTGGAGACACACACACTCTCCTATAAGGGTCAAGGCCAAATAGACTCTGTCCTAGTGCAAGATCTGGTGACAGTGTATATGCACTAACAATTTAATGACCTCTATAAAGGAGTTCCAGATTTCTTATTAATTTAATTTTGGGGAGGAAAAAATTTTTCTACACTATTCCAGTTACTTGAGCTTTCTGGTTAGTTGAATGTAGATGGTCGGGGTTTTACTGTAGTAATAAATAGCAGAAAATACATGGTTATTTGATTTTCCTCTGTCAAAAAAAAAAATCAATGCATATATTCAACAAATATACATTCATAAATAAAGAATGATACTCTGCATATAAATTTTTTGGTGGTAAACTACAAGGGGTGTTTTTTAAGTAAGGACCATTGAAAATAAAAACCAAACAAAATTAAATTTTAAAAAACCAAATATATTTTCATATTCTACATATGTTTCGCTATTTTTCAACATAGTTGCCTATTTTGTTTAAATACTTATATCTTAGAACTAGATTTTGAATACCCTCTTCATAGAAACTTAATGCCTGCTCTGATAACCAAGAGGTCATGGCCATTTTCACATCTTCATCATCGATACAGTGGTTGCCGCCAAAATGATGCTTGAGATAACGGAAGAGAAGAAAATCCCTCGGCACAAGGTTTGGGATACAGGGGGAGGTCTAAAACTTCCCAGCCAAAAGAGTCCAATAAAGCTTGGGTCTTAGTTGCGGAATGAGGCCTTGCATTGTCATGATGTAGCAAAATTCAGCATGCAGTGTCTTTTGTTTTGAATCGCTCTGCATAGCTTTTCCAGAGTACTGCTAGGCTACCACATTTATGGTGGTTCTGCATTGCATGAAATCGACTAACAAAACACCATGCCTATCCCAAAACATGGATGCCATAATCTTGCACTAGGACAGAGTCTATTTGGCCTTGACCCTTACAGGAGAGTGTGTGTGTCTCCACTCCATGCGCTTGCTTCCATTCAGGCGTAGCATGTGAAACCCACATTTTATCTCCTGTTATGATTCAACTCAACATGGTGTCACCTTCTTCATTATGATAAGTCAAAATATTCAGCAAACACTCAAATCTTTTGTTTTTGTGGTCCTCTGTTAGCAGTTTAGGGACCCAATAGGAGCACAGTTTCTTAAACCTTAACTTTTCAGAAACAATCTTGTACAGCAGTGACCTAGACACTTCAGGAAATTCATTTGAAAAAGTGCTTATAGTGAAACGTCTGTTCTCAAGAATTTTCGCTTCAACTAAAGCCACCATATCATCTGTGATCACAGATGGCCAACCGGAGGGGAACTCATCATGGGCATTGTCACAGCCAGCTTTGAAGTCTTTGATTCACTTATGCACTTTCCCTTCACTCAGCCGTAGCATTGTAAACTTTCCAAATCTGCTGGTGAATGTCTGCAGTAGACAGATTTCATGCCGTAAAAACAAATGTACACTGCTCAAAAAAAAAAATGGGACAGTCCTATATCTCCCGATCTACTGGGCCGATTGACAAAATTCAAATTGCGTTCTTCATGTCTCGAAAGCGCGACTTAGGATATATATTAGATTTATATATAGCACTATTCTACAAATTACGCCTCAAATTACGCCTAAATATGAAATTTTGTAAAATTTGGAGCAAAATTTACGGAGAAATTCACAAATTTATGTTGGCACTTTTTTGTCAGTTTGCGCCAAGAATACTTCACTTGGCCAACTTCTTTAATATATGGCAACCTAGTTTCCTTTCCTGTGAGAGGAAAAAAAGTCACCATCGTTCCTTTTTTCCAAATAATATTCTTTATATTATATTTTTAATTATAACTTATTATTTTAAGTAATTTTTCTTTTTCGAATTTCATTTTAATTGTTTAAGTTGCACGTTTTTTTTTTTTTTTTTTTTTTTTTTTTTTTTTTTTCGAATAACTGTTTAAAAATTTTCTATTTACCTATTCGAACTGCGTAAATAACGGTGCAGCAGCTTTTATTTTTTTTTTCAAATAGTTTTTCTTTATATATATTTTTCGTCATAGTTATTATTTTAGGTAATTTTTAAAATTTATACTTTTATTTTAATTGTTTGTGTTGCATTGTCTCTTCAGATAATTGTTTTTAAAATTTTCTATTTATTCCTTCGAACTGAGCATTTTAAATATATTTATTAATATCAAATTTTCCAGAATTTGATTTTATTTATTTGAACTTTCGTTTTTTTTTGGAAGAATACTTTGTAACCCAGACTACGATGCAGTTTGAAAACTGCATACTATATTAAAAGAGAAAATACAGTAAAGCACAGTTTTACACGCCTTTCAATGTTCCGTTCAGAAAAGATATATATACATAAGAGAGATGTATAACCGACATTTTAACTTAGGATGACTTGCATACACTGCTTTAAACAGTTTTATCATTGTGCCCATTGCTTTACACAATTTTATCCTACATTTGGTTTCTTAAAATGTTATTCATATTTTAGTCAAATATTTTATTTTTGAAATCGCAAGAATCAAATATCATAACATTGAAAAGTTTTTAATTTAAAAAAATACAAATACTAAATTTTACGAAAAAATTTATTTTTCTTCTCTTTTTCTTTAAGCATTCTGAAAGTATATTAAAAAGTATCCAACTTTTCGAAACATTTTGGTATTTCTGACAATAATTTTAAATAAAGTTATTGCCTTCCATTTCATAAAGGCCCACAAGCGGCCGAGCGGTAAAGACTCTGATCACTGGTAGTTCGGTCCGAGGTTCGAATCCCACAAACGGGCTGGTTGCATGGGCGTTTTCGTGGTTTTCCCGATGTGTAACATGTATACAAGCCAGTTTTCCTTAAAAAGTCCTGCACGAAGGCATCCCTCCCTTTAGGCAGATAGCCCTCGCGTGCTTTGCCATAATTAAATAATCCAATCCAATCCAATCCTTAATTAAATATAATTGATTTGTAACTTCTACTAGAACTGACATTAAGAATTGAAGTGCAAATAAATAATATCGTGTGCAATCTTGATTAATATAAAATTAAAAATATTTGCACAGGAAAATATTTATATTCAGACAGAAAGTTTTTTGAAATATTTGCAATTACTTTATAAGAAGGATTTATTAATAACCGTAATAATTACTGATTATATTACTGATGATTAGAAATCAGTTCTTGACAATTACATTCTAAATTAGAATTTTAAGAATTATTATAATTTTAAATTAGAATAATGAAAATACGCTACGCACAAAAATACATTTTAGGATAAAAAATGAGTTGATTTTTTATGTTTTCAAACTTCTTGAATTCATTTAATAAACATCGTATCCTCGTTATTAATTGAATTCAGAATGTTGGGTGTCGTTTATATAATTATTCTTACTTGTCCACGGAATCTGCTGACTTATCCAGCGATTAAGTAGCTGCAGATCATTTCTACATAACCATTAAACTTCCATTAATTCAGTCTCTAGAGAGTTGTATATTTATATCATAATTTGACTTTCATAAAAATGATTATTCTAAATCTTATGTTTCTATAAAAATATACTGTGCTTTAAAAATATGGATGATAGTACCAGCGCGCTCTTTCAGCCACTTCAAAGCATCAGTTTGTTTATAAATAATTGTGCAGTTAATGTCATAAAATTCAAATAAACATCAAATGAAAATTCTCAGTTTTAGACAATTCGATTTAAACGAAGTAAGTAGCAGACGATAAAACTCTGAACGTAAAAATTTACTCTTATTTAAAAAAAAAAAAAAAAAAGATAGAGAAATTTTAAAAAAATATTAAACAAATTTATTTAAAAAAATAGCTTTTCATATAGTATTAATAAATATTTATTACGCATCATTGAGGGAAAAAATGTCATATAATTAATTCTCCTAATAATTAATTATAATTAATTATAATTAATTCTCTAATAAATTTTAGTTGAAATTTAAGGTTAAAAATAGCTGTGGCAATACAGTGTAACAAAAATCCATAGACCACATTCGGCGTTATTATCGCTCAAAAAAAGATGCCAAATTTCAAAACGCGAAAATATGTAAATTTGTGTATATCTTAGAAAATTTTGAATAAAAAGTCTAATTTTTTGCAGATATGCTTAAAAATATACCTACTTTAAGATGATGGTAAAAAATTTTATAGGTTATAATTCAAAATTTTTTTTCGAAAAATTTATAAAAATTATTTAAAAATAGAAATTTAAAAAAAACAAACACACAAAAATGGGTAATTTTTTTTGGAATGAACCTAAATTTCGAAATGTGAGAGAAAAAATCAAAAACGTTTAATAAAAAAAAGATATAATAAATATTTGCCAAATTCAATTAACATTGAGGAGCTAAAATTTTGAGAGCTAATATTTCAAAAACTACTCGTACGATTTTACAAACTTAGTAAACTTGGCATAATTTGAGTCGTAGAATCGAAATATGTAAAAAAATGGGTATGTTATTTCAGAAAAAGTCCGATTTTGTGTCAAAATACCTATGTTAGAATAGTGCTATATATAAATCTAATATATATCCTAAGTCGCGCTTTCGAGACATGAAGAACGCAATTTGGATTTCGTGAATCGCCCCAGTAGAACGCGAGATATAGCACTGTCCCTTTTTTTTTTTTTTTTTTTTTTTTTGAGCAGTGTACCACCAACCATACATCGCACGGGGCACGCAATTTGATAATCTTGAACATTTTAAAGATATAGAACACATCATACAGGTTGCCTACACAGCCGCAACTGAGCCCAGTTCTTTTGAAGAAATGCTGGGACACGATGGAAATACCTGTTGCAGCTTGCATGCCACCTATTAGTGTATACAACAAAACCGGCCTTACTTAAAAAACACAATATGTATTAACTTCCCCTCTTTTACTTATGTTTTTCAAATGCATTAATTTTTTCAGCAGTTTTTGGATAAAAGAATAACTTATTAAATTTGCAATAAAAATATCAAAAATAACATACCTTGCTACACCATTTTGAACTATTATATTTCCAGAATGCAAATGTAAAAATGGTGGAAATCTTTGATCCTTTAAAAATAACAAAGCTTCTAAAACCTGACAACCCAATCTTTGAATCTGAGCAGATTCTGAACCATAGCCATGATAATGATATTTTTCTTTCCAGTCATCTTGGCAATGACTCTAAAAAAATGTTGGAAAATAACACTCTTAGAATTCACTAAATAATATCTATGAAATATTTAACACAATTAGCAATACTAAAATTAGTTACTGCATGAAAACTACAATTCTTAATAAAAAGGTCATATATATTTTTTTTAATATTTTATAAAAAGAAAAATGAAAATTCCCCAATGGCAGACCCAAGGCTTCTTTTTATTACAAATAAAAAGAAGTTATGTAATATTTTGAATGGCATAATTATTTTTAAGCAGCTTTGAAATTTGCTGCATTCTGAAGCACCTTCTTTTTTTAAAATAATTTTCTTTTTGCATTTAAAGACCTAGAAACCATTCTCATAAGTTGTAAGTTACTACAAATTCAAACAGCTCATTACTCTATGCATCAAGGAAATTAATGCTACATAATCAAAGAAATAAATGCTATTAAGTGCATAAATACTAAGTGCTACTATATACATTCAAAAGTGGCTGAAATATACACTGTCTTTTAAGCATCAAAGCTATTAAACTTGAGATATATACAAATTTTAACAACCTAAACAATACTCTTTAAATTAAAATAAAATTCACTTTTTTTAATAATTATGATTCTTTTTATTTTATAAAAATATGTTCCTTGCATTAAATAATAATGCCATACATTATTGTTAATTATTTCTGAAATATAGTTTACAATTTCTCAAAATTAAAAAGAAGGAAGTTTAAAAAATGCCTTTATATTTATTCACATTAACTCAATAAACATCCCAAGAAACTTTTTCTTCATTCCATTAAATGAAGCTTGAACATAAATAAGGATTTTCTGTCATAATAAATGAACTGTTTATTATCACAAGTATTTTTTTAAATGATTCACCCCAAAAAATAAACATAAATAAATACATTAATTAATACCAGGCTAAATAAGAAATATCACATAAATCGCAATATATTAACCAAAAAATTAAAATCTGGCAGTTTCAGTTATTATTTAAATCTTATCTTAACTGAATTAATGTCCATTATCAAATGAAATAAATTTTAAAAAGTAAGATAACAGAAAAATTAAAGAAACTGAATTAATTTAATTAATGATACGCTAAAAACTGTAGAAAAAATTTCAAAATGTTTCTTCATGCAAACTATCTTCAAAAGTGCTCTCACTCAGAGCTCTTTAAAAAAATGCTTAGGGTTTTATCAGTTTGACTCTAGAAAAATCCTCATTTTTTAGTTCAAATAAAATAAATAAATAAATGCAATTGAAGGATATTTTTTTTTCCCAAGGACATTCATTACCTTTTATATTACACAGTTCACCATCCAGATGGGAAAATTGTTAGCGACTCTGACTGCCACACCAAAGGGACGGGTTCAAATTCCGGAGAAGGCATGGATGTAAATTATCTGTCCCTTCACAGATGGCAATGCCTGTCCACCTATTAGGTGCCTCTATAATAAAATGACCACGCTTCCAGCCTTAGTTGTGGCCAATGCCTATAATGGCTAGCACGTACCAATGGAAATTTAAAAAAAAAAAATTCACAATAACTTGTAATTACGCATAAGTCTGTATTCACTAACAGCTTCTAGTGTGTGTGTGTGTGTGTGTGTGTGATTATGGCAAAGCCTCGAGGGCTATCTGCCTAAGAGGAGGGATGCCTTCGTGGAGGACTTTCTAGGGGAAACTGGCTTGTATACACGTCAAAAATGGGGAAAACCATGAAAACGCCATGCAGCCAGCTTGTTTGCGGGATTCGAACCTCAGACCGAACTACCAGTGTTCAGCGACTTCACCGCTTGGCCGCTCTAACAGCTTCTATTTTCCTCTGATTGTTTTTGGTATCTGTTGTCAAATATCACCAAACTCGTGAATTTACATACACTAAACGCTTAATTAAACTCAAAGGAGACATAAAGAACACTATATATCCATAATATCTCTAAAGTTAATTTAACAGAAATTCCATGTTTAAGAATTTTTACTTCCTTCTGTTAGATTCACAAAATGTTTAGAGATACACATACTCCTGAGTACCCCAGAAAAAGAAAAAAAAAAAAAGCACTGCTCTTTACTTATATTAAGAATGGTCTGAATGTTCTACTTTGAAAAATGTGGAAAATATATATGAAATTACTAGCGAAAATTTAAAAAAAAAGGGGGGAAGAAAGACTTAAAAAAAGAGCTAAAATAAAGCCTAAGAAAATATACTCACGCGATATATAACATCTTTTAAGGTTCCTTCCTCATTGAAAGGTAAAACAGCAATAACATATTCCTGCTCCATGACAATTTTCCTATCAATATCCAACACAGGATAAATATATGGATGTTGCAAAGCTAAAAACAAATCTAATAAAATTTCTCTGGTTTCAGCATTATATTTGATTGGACAGTTTTCAGCAACAGGAGTCATTGTCAACAAACGTTCTGTTTTTGTAGTGTTATCTCGTACAAGAAACCAGTTTTTGTCAAGCCTGCTACCTGGGAAAAAAAAATCAAATTTCTAAATACCATATTTGCATTTTAATAATAATTTAAACTGATAGTACAAAATTTAAATTACAAAAAAAAAACTTACAGTAAAAAAATAATAATGAATGTTTCTTTTGAAAAGCTTCTGACTGACAGAAATTCCAAAGCTAAAACATTAAATGTCTTCCAAAATTTAAAAAAATTTAGTCACACTGAGAGTTAAAATTTTTTCTTAATTATGGTCACTTATACACTTTCAAGTAATACAAAAAAATTAATTTGGAAAATCTAATAATCATCAAATTCTGAAAATATGCAGATTCATGTAAATATCTTATTAATAAATATGGCAAATCATACACCTTGCATACATAAATCATGCACAAAGGTGATGCTTTTTTATATTAGCACTATGGAAATTTAGGATGCACTTAATCAGTGGTTCTAAACCTGTTTTGCCCCATGCAGCCCCTCTCACTATTAACAACCAAGATCTCTCCATTTCAAAAATCAAAAAATACATACATGTGTGAAATATGTATACACATAAGTACATGCTTTAAATGAAAATAAATATTTTAAAAAGGATATTTAGAGTCTACTTTTTGTAAAATATATTTAACAATAACATTTTTCTGCCAATTCAATTTTCATAAGAAAATGAACATGGCTACGGATTACCCAAAAGACTTCACTCTAGTTGGTTCAAATAAGCAAAATACATGGTATAAACTACAAAATTAATATGAAGTCCATAGTTGTTGAATACAACTCAAAACTACTTGTGCTCTGCAGGTTTAGTTAGTCAGCCACTTAACAGGATCATAAACAAACTGATGCTTATCTTAACTATTTTATTTGATGTAATTAGGCACTAAATGCAATAAAGCTTGTTTCTAAATACAGTACAAAGTCCGTAATCCGGACATCCATTATCAGGAATGATCTATAATCCAGACCTCAAAGCCACAAACTTTTTTTTTTTGTATGCTTTATGCATGCACGTTTAATGTATAACAGACGGTATAAGTTGGGCTAAAATTATCTTTAGTGATTCTAAGGCATTTCAGTTAATGTTACAGATTACTCTGTTCCTTAATCTTCTAATTGGACCAGCAATTTTATAAAAATTAAGCTTGAACTTTCGATTATGTAAAAAAGAGTTTCCAATTCTGGAGTTGCCAAAGGATCTACAAAGCAAAACCAGGATTTGATGCCTATTAAACAAAAAGGGAATTGCTGCAAAAAATGGATAAAGGCATATCTGTCTCAAAATTATGCGAGGAGTATGACATTTGAAAGTAAACTGTATATGACCTAAGCAAAAAGAAAAAGGAATTTTTTGAGGATTCCGACACCCAACTTGCAATAAATAACAGAAAAAGGGTTCGTTATGCTAAAAGTGACGATCATGACAAGGTAATGATTGGGGACAGACAGCGTCGCAGTGAGGGCGTGCCATTGACGGATTCAATGCTAATGGCTGACGCCAAAATATTTCATGAAGAAATGAACTAACACACTGAGTGCACATATTCGACAGATTGGTTAACCCTTTCTGGCGCGCTACCTTTTAAAGTTGGCGTTTTGATTAAAAAAAAAAAAAAAAAAAGGTAGGCAGTCTAATTAGACATAGAGGAATACATACCGTATATACCCGCTTACAAGTCGAGATATTTTGGACAAAAAAAAGATTTCAAAGTGGGGGAGTCGACTTATACGCGGGGCCATAAAAAATTAAAAGAATCGGAAGTACAAAAATTTCTTTATATAATGCAGTTGTTTTCTTCCCGCACTCAAATTGGACGACTTATCAAATAAGTCGCTTACTTGAAGTAATTTCATGACTTAAATTATGTGACGAACTAGTAATCACAGAGTTTCATACTTTAACTAGAGTAAGTTTAGATTAAACCAAAGAATTTTCGGCCCCCAAACAACAGATCAATATCAAGCAATAAAAGAGTTTTGCCAACACACCAAGAAAAGAGAAATGCAGATAGTTTTTACATACATATCATCCGTTGATCATTTTTAAAAGAAAAACTTTACCGAAAAACGTTGTGTTTCCATCAGGTGTGTTGGTTCGCGCCCATGAAAAGGAATGGATGGATGCTGACGGAACAGTCGATTGGCTTAAAAATGTGTGGGATAAAAGACCGGGAGCAGCTTTCAAAAAAACCTTCTCTTTTAGTAGCATACGATTCTTTTCATGGACACTTTTCTGAAGAAGTGACAAAAGTGACAAAACACCTAAAAATGACTGTGGCTGTAATTCCGTGAGGATTGACATCCTTCATTCAATCCCTAGATGTCTGCCTCAATAAGCCCTTCAAAGTAAATATTAGAAAATATAGGGCAGAGTGGATTAGTTCCGGTCGACCTACATTTACAAAGAGAGGCAACATTAAAAAGCCCGATATTACATTAATTGCTCAGTGGGTTAAAGATGCTTGGAACGAAATACCCTCTGAAATGATTATAAAATCATTTAAAAAATGTTGTATTAGCAATGAACTAGACGGCACGGAAGATGATGCTGTTTTTGAAAGTGAAAATGACTACCAAGGCTCTAGTAGTGATTGTAACAATACAGAGTTCGAGACTGAAAATATGTATGATGACGAGCCAATGACGACAGAAGAGTTCTATGAAATGTTTGGCGAATCTGACCATGAATCGGACGTTGAAGGATTTTGATTTTGTTTATTTACCAAGGTATTTTTTATCGTATATTTACTTTTTTTTTCTCAGATGATTTTGAATAAATGTAGTACTTAAAAAAAAATTTTCGAAGTTTCTCGATCGATTTCGGAAATTGGGGGTCGACTTATACGTGATTTCTTATTTTCTACAAATTTTTTATGTCGAAGTGGGGGGGTCGACTTATATGCGGGTATATACGGTAAGTAAAATTTTGTGAAGATAGCACTTATCTTTGAATTCTGTGGGTGTGCTCAAAGTGGGCACACTGATTGAACAGAGCTTCGAAAAGAGTGCTAAACCGAGCATTGTTGTCAATTAATTGACCAATGAGATGCGGACAAACAAAGAATACAGACTCTCAGTTGCCCTAGATTATTGATGAGCCTGGTCTAGGCATACCTAGGGTTCGCCATTTGATTTTAGACAAGATTTTAAGGTAAAAATTTAAAACTAATATAAAATAAGGAGATTAGCATACAGCCAAAAAAATAACATAGAAATTTCTTTTCAAACAATTCCTTTTATACCCTAAAAAATCTGGAAGGTTTCTTTGAAAAATGAGGGTCTTAAAAAACTAAACATGGATAAAATGTATGGACTGGCTCTCATTGGGCTGCCACCTATTATAAATAAGGAAGGTTCAGTGTAACCTATAGTAGTAACCTTTAGATCATTTTTCATTCAATTTTTCTGTGCGTACAGAAGGAAAATTTTAGATGTGTCAGACTGGACACACTGCGCCAAAAAGGGTTAACCAAATTTAAAAATCGCCATGGTATAAGACAGTTAAAAATTTCAGGTGAAAAAGCTTCAGCTGATACTGAAGCTGCTGAACAATTTGCAGATGAATTCATTGAACTCATTACTAGTGAAAAATTATCTCCAGAACAAATTTACAACGCTGATGAAATAAGGTTTTTTCTGGCAATATGTACTGCGAAATACCTTGGCAACCTCTACAGAAAAGGCTCCAACTGGTGTCAAAGATTCCAAAGCGAGACTAACAATTTTAGTGTGCGCAAATGCTGCAGGAACACACAAGTGCAAACTTTTCGTAATCGGAAAACATGCACGACCTTGAGCATTTAAAGGAGTAATGATTTTCCTTGTTATATATCACACAAATAAAAGAGCATGGATGAAACAAGTGTTGATGAATGATTGGTTTGAAAATCATTTTATACCCGAGGCTCAGCGACCGACATTTGAATTCAGTTGGTTTACCTGATGACTCAAAAATAGTCTTGATTGTTGACAACTGTTTGGCGCATACTTGACTTAAAGTTTTAGTGAAAGATAATGTATCCATATTATTCTTCCCTCCAAATTGTATGTCGATCAGCCTATGAATATGGGACTTTATATTTGCATTTCAGCACGTGGGAATAGTGCACGTGCTGAAATGCAAATATAAAGTAGCATTTTTAAAATCTTGAATCTTTTCTTGAACAATGGGCAAGACTATTCAAGACTTTTTGAAATTTTTTAGCATAAAATCTGCTGTGTGGAGTATCACAAGATCGTGGGAAAATATGTCTCCAGATATGTTAAAAAATGCTTGGCATAATTTATAACCAGCTACCATATTTCATGGTGAGGGCGATGACGACAATAGCCGCGAATTTGAAGGTTTTTGGACATCGCAAACTAAAGGTAAAATTCTCCAGTTATTGGATTTTGTAAAAAAAATGTAGAGAAGCGGTAATAAATGAAGATGATATAACAGAAGTTTTTCAGTGCTATGATAATGCCTCAATTATCAGTCAATTAACGGATGGCGAAATCTGTAGTATGGTTCTAGATCCAGAAAATACTGCTTTCGATAGTGAAGAAAGCGACAGAGAAGTTATTGAAAATGAAAAAATTCCGATTGACAAGTTAGTCGGTCTACTCAAAACAGCAATTACAGGACTTGAACAGTGGAACTTTGTTACTGAACAAGAAATTGTGTCTGTTTATAGAATTAAAGAGAAAGTATTAGCACAAAAAACGAAGCAACTTAAACAACTTACATTGAAAGAAATATTTGATAAAGTAAACAAATAAATATTAAGTTTTTTTTTTTTTTTTTTTTTTTTTTTTTTTTGTAAATTTTGATACCCTATAGATCACTGCTCTTTATTATATAAATTACGGTTTCATATTTTTAATTGTATAATTTCTGCATGCTATCTTACCAGATTTAAATTGATGATCTATAATCCAGAAAAAACTAGATTAGGAAACACTGAAGTCCCGACGAGTCCAGATTACGGACTTTGTACTGTACTAGTTTAATTTGTTCAAACAAAATTTTAAAATCTTCTGTTGTTTTACCCTTACTAGACAAAAAGGAACTACTATACTTACAGAAATAATTGTAAACTATACCATTTAATCAAATTTTACACACCAGCTTTTATATTCATACACTAAACTTACACAAAACTACATCATATTCACAAAGCATGAGTAAAATAAAGCTCGAAAACTTACCCATATCTGGTAAATGCTGAAGAAAAACATAACGATTAGATCCTCGTAAATAATACTGGCAACGTATAGTTGACATATCTGAAATTTTTGAAAAAATATTTTAATTGAACTTTGACACATAAATACATGAACAAGATAACTGTGAGAGACGAGTATCCCTTGAACTTCCAATAGCTCATAAAATTCAATCCCACCCCTCCCCTATTTTCTTTTCTGCCATTAAAGTGAAATAAAAAATTTTGCTTTCATTTGACAAATGGATCATCTTCTCTCTTCAAGGAATTTGTTACAATTATTAAAAAAAAATCATATACACAAAAATTTAAATATTGCAGTAAAAATTTATATTATGTGAATATTCATATATTATTGTGTAGCAATACATTTTTCAACAATTTATATTTTACTGATTTATATAAAAAGCTCTTCTTCAACTTAGTTTTGATACAACTAATAATCATACATACTTCGATCTGAATCTCTCTGTAATTTTCGATCCATCTCCAAACGATCTTGCAAAAATGACTCATCTGCCAGTGCTGTATATTCATACCTAGGCTCTCTCCTGTAAAATATAATGAAATGTTCAATCAAGCAACTAGCAAACAGACTGCGGAAATTTTAGAAACATAGACAAGTTTCTTCAAAGACAATAGAAGAAACTGTAAAAATAAAAAGGGAAGAAATTAGGAGGAAACTCTTAAAGGAAATAAATTTTAAAATAATAGTTTATTTGACAATTAATGTTTTACTATTTCTGCAATAAAATACAAAGTACAGTATACTCTTGGTTAACTAAGAGTAGACTAACTAGTATGCATATTAACATAATTTGATTAAAAAAAAAAACCATGATGTTTGTTTATCACATAATAATTTAAATATTACTATCATCAACCATCAGAATAAAACAAAACTGTTTACAAAAAAAAAAAAAAAAAAAAGTAAGAAGGGAAAATGGAATAACAGCAATTATAACAATTATAAGAGATAAATGTTTCTAAGCCAGGATATATAAAGTGAACGGCCAGAACTAGACATTTTTGCTGCCCAGTGCAATTTCTTCAGGTTTGTGACAAACAACAGGTTTATATTAGAGAACATCCTTTTCTCATACCTAGGCTCAACATACCCCAGTATCCACTGCAAAGACCAGAATAGGATCAAGGAAAAAACTCGTTAAAGACACCCTTCTTGGGTAGTTTCTGTAGACACTGTTGGAAAATGTAAAAGAAAAGGGTTTTGTCTGAGAAATGCTAAAGGTGTAGGTTGCATCATGCAATGGGAAAGGTACTCTCTTTCCCTTTTTGTAATTGAACTGTTAATTTAACCCAAGAAAATTTATGTTACATTTCAAAATAAATATTAAAAAAGACAACTGGGCTCAGTATTTCCATCACAGAAGTTCAGCAAACATTAGAGGGACCTAAATTCTGCTCCCTTGCTTTTCCCTAAATTCTAAAAATTTTGCTACCCTTAAACTTTGCTGTCTAATGCCTCCTTTAAATTTTAAGAATTCCGCTGTCTAAGTTTTGCAGCTTATTACTACTCTGAATTCTCAAATTTTTGCCGTCCCTAAATTCCGTCGCCAAATGCTACCACACTGATTACTATGGCTCTGGCACTGGCCCTGATAAAGTGTTAAATCCTCCATTAAAAGTAAACTGCTTAATCATAAAAATAAATCAAGTATACAGCCACATCACTATATTCATGCATCAATATTTTAGTCATAAAAATAAATCAAGTGTAATGTATTTATTAGAAGAATACTTAGTTGTGAATTAATTTTGAATCGTGCAAGTAGCCCTCCTACAACAGAGCATCCTGTAACATGGTTTCGCTATAACACGATTCATAAATTACGAGAACCCTCCTATAACACGGTTTAGCTCTAACATGATAAGAAAATTGTCCAAGCAATCTGAAGAAATTTAACAAACTAAGCACGAAGTTTTCCCATACTGTACAAAGCACCCATACACTCATTTTAACACATAAGAGTCTTTGTTTTGTAAGTTCTGCCAATTGTCTTCCAAGATCCAGTAGCTGTAAGAACAAATGTCCTCAGATGACCCATATGAACAAATGTCCCCAGATAACAATGAAGAAACCTCACTGTCGCAGAAGATGAACAACATGAGGTCACAATAAGTGCTCTAAAATGCACAACCTGCAAGTTTGGCTTCCAAAATTCAAATCCTTGTCTCCATGCCCTGAAAATAAATGTGTCTCACGCTGCTGGTCGGCAGTCTGCTTCGAGCCACGGTGTGTTGAAGAATAACTTTTACGTCTTTAAGACATTAAGTTTCAGTCCTAAACATGTCCGATATAAATAAAAAAATGACGTTTAAGAGGAAATTCATTTCTTTAGAAGTACATATACAAATCTTGGACCGTCTTTTAAAAGGAGAAAAGGCATCTCACATTGGAAAAAGTTTTAATTGGAATGAAGAAACAGTCCGGACTATTAAAAAAAATGAAAAAGAAATAAAAAGTGCAGTTGCTGCAGACTCTTCGACATCTGCAAAACATGCAGTTCGCCCCTGGGGGCCCAATAATTGAGAAGATAGGAAAGCCACTCAGCATTTGGATTGATGATAGCTGTCAAAAAAGAATTTCATTGGATGATAATGACATTAAACAAAAATACTCAAAATTTTCAAGCACCTCAAAGAACACGGAGAACCCTCTGTCTTTCTGGTAAGTAAAGGTCGGTTCGAAAATTTGAAAAAGTATTTTGCAATTCAAAGCATAAGTATTCAAGGAGAATCTGCATAGGCTGATTATGAAGCTGTCAGGATGTTTCCAGAAAAATTTCGAAGTATTATAGATGAACAAGGATACACAGCAGTTCAAGTTTTCAATGCCAAGAAAACTGGACTTTGGTGGAACAAAAATGCCCAGTAGAACCTTTATACACAGCAGTTCAAGTTTTCAATGCCAAGAAAACTGGACTTTGGTGGAACAAAAATGCCCAGTAGAACCTTTATATCGAAAAAAAAAACTGCATCCTGATTTAAGGTGTCTAAAAATTCCCTAATATTATTTTTGTGCAGTATGACTTTCTGACAAAACCCCTAGTTAATTTACAGATCTTTAAATCCTTGTGCACTTAAAGGCATCCAAGATCTTGGGTAGCTGGGAATATATTTAAAGATTGGTTTTAAATTGTTTTGTTGCCAGATGCTGAATGTTATTTAAGGCAGAAAAATTTGAGCTTCAAGGCGCTTATTAATCAGATAATGCTCCATGTCACCCACAAGATTTGAATCATCCCAATGTCAAAATACTGTTCTTACCACCTAACACTACTTTGTTACTTCAACCATTGGATAAATGTATTATTTATACCTTTAAAACATAAGAAGAGCATTATAGATTTTAGATGTAACCAGTTCAAAATCGATTAATGTAATGGAAGCTTGAAAGACATTTTCAATCACAAACTGAATCGATATAGTATCGTTGTCGCTGAAGGAACTGAAAGCATCAACGTTAAATGCATGTTAGAAGAAGATATGGCCCTCTTCAGTTGAAATAGAAAATGTGGGCGAATCATCAGAAAATGAAATTGGTGGCATATTTAGAACTTGCTAAATCAATTGGAGGCAAAGGTTTTGTGAACATGGATATTCAGGGCGTTCAAGATTTATTAGTGGAAGAAGAAATTGACGAAGATTTGATACAAATGGCATCCAAAGATGTAAATCAAATCGATTCTGAGGACACTACCATTGCTGAAGATTGTGAAGTTAATAATTTAACGTTAAAAAAATTAAAAGAAGGCCTACGCTTAGCTGAAAATCTCGAGTTATTTTTCTTGAGTGCAGACCCTTCCACTGAAATAAGCCGAAAATTCAAATGGGAGCTGCAACACTGTCTAGCTCTATGTGGCGTTCCGACAGATACTTCAACTTCTATTCATGAGATGGCGCCACGTGTAAAATCCAGTTCTTAATCGGAGCAGCAAAGCGACATCTTTACTCACTCAGACTTCTCGACACACAACGGTACGCGAAGGTAGCATGAACTGTGTTCCGAGCTCTGTGTTGATCTCTTCATTGGAAGCAGCAAGAATTATTTGTATGTTATTAGGGAGACGCGAAAGCCATAGTGACTTCAACAAGTCGTCACTAAAATGGCTTCCTGCCAGATCACGCATTCGTGACAGCAAGTATGAAGGTCGCTGATCTCCAAGTTCAAGTCCTTGTAGTAAAATACGTATTTTTGAAGATTCACTTTCTGAATAGATTTCAATGAGCCGCTGTTTCAGTTTGGAGTATTTATCACAATCAGGTGGTTTGAGAATTAAGTCATGCACTGAATTCAGAATATCAGACTCAATTGCTGCAACTACGTAGTTGAATTTTGCAGAATCCTCACTAATGCGAGCGATAGAAAATTGTGCTTCGATCTGAGCGAACCACAATGAAGATCTAACCTGTTTAGCAGCAATGGCTGACAAAATTAATGAACTTGTTACTCCAGCTTATGTCAGTGCTGCTAATGCTGCACCTTCCAGTTCATCCCTCGAACAACAAGTGGCTGAATTGACCAAAAAAGTATCTGAACTCTCTGCAAGTCTTCATGCTTCACGGAGATACAATCGATCAAATCAGGGCCCACGTAATAAATTTCGTGCCCGAAGCAGGAGTCTATCTCGTCACAATACTCGAACGCAGTACAAAGATCCCACACGTGGCATATGTTTTTATCATATGAATTTTGGCGCGCAAGCTCGCAAGTGTGCCCCTCCATGCACTTTTGTACAAGCGGGAAACTAAATGGGCGGTCTTCTGCTGGCCAACAGAATGTCCGCCACATCGACAGAATAGTACTGGCTGATCGTTCAACTCAGTTATGTTTTCTAGTAGATACTGGAGCTGACATATCAGTGCTCCCGAGAACTAAAACAAATGCTCACCAACTTAATAAACTTGTACTGTATGCAGCCAAATGGTACCCAAATTGCAACCTTAACAGCACCAAACTATTGACACTTGATTTGAACTTGCGCCGGACTTTCAACTGGCCTTTCATTATTGCAGATGTCAACACAAGCAATTATTGGTGTCGACTTTCTTGACACATTTCCACCTTCTAGTGGATGTCAAGAATAATTGCTTAATTGATGCTACAACTCAGCTGACATCACAAGGGCCAAGCTTCTCACGTATCAACGTACCTACCAACATAACTGTTGTATTGGGCAGCACACGTTTCATCAATTATTAGCAGAATTCCCTGACATTTCAAATCCCATCTCAAATCCAGGGCAGCATACTCATCAGCTACAGAAGTGTATCATCACATTGAAACACATGGCCCACCTGTATTCTCCAAGCCTCGTCATCTTTCTCCAGAGATGCTAAAAGGCTGCTCGCAAAGAATTTGAATTCATGCTAGCACAGGGAACCATTCATTCCATCTAAAAGTCCCCTGGGCCAGTCCACTTCACATGGTTAAAAAGTCTAATGGTGACTGGCGGCCTTGTGGAGACTATCGTCGAACTTAATGCCGCCACAGTCCCTGACAGATATCCAGTCCCACATATCCAAGACT